CTTCTATTTCTCTGAATTTCATTTTCGTCGTTGATAAAATAAGGATATATGTTCCCGTTCTTCAAAGCTGACTTATGTAGGTCATTTCACGCATAAGGCATTGAGCCCAATTATCCTCAGTGACTGGTGGTAATTTAGTTGCTTACTGAGGCTCATTAACCCTCTCCTGTCTCTGGAAGGAAGGGTTTGAGTTACTCACTGTAGCATTTTTTCTGTTGGCATTACATATAAAAGGCCTAACTAAATAAACATAGCGTAATGAGCATTCATTTCCACAACTTACTCTCAAGCACACACAGGCGTTAGGAGTTATCATGCCTTATTTTGGTCACGAGGCCTGTTTGTTTATATTGGTGCCAATACATTTTATCAGTCTGATTCGAGTTAGTTTTCTATCTAGCCTTTCATAGTGAGGGGCCCTCCCTTAACTCGGGGTTTAGAGTCGCCGTTTCACTGGATGGGGAATGGGCTGAAGGACAGATGCCTGTCATATTCCTTTTCGGTCATTCAGACCTAAAAGTGGGACGTGGAACCCCTCGCAGCTCAGGAGGTGAGGAGTGCTTCAGATTTCTCCTTGGTGCAGGAAGGAGTTCAGGTCCACAAGAGGCCACTTTCTGCTCTTCTTAGCCATGGTATCTTTTAGGGTGGCTGTTCTTCAGCCTTTTTCTAAGCATGCTCAACTCCTAAAAATTCACCTTCCAAGAAACTGGCTCATGTCATCCCTTCTTCCTTCGTAAGGTATAGTTTCCTCCCCTACTTTCCCCTCCTGGATTTTCCTTCTGGATACGAGGTTAGCCTGAGTGTCATGCGCTCTGGGGAGCTGTACACTCAGCTCCACGCAGCTGCTGGGAGAAAGGCCGACCCTATGTGCACATTTTATGTGTGAGAAGAGCACTAAGTAGAGCTGAGTGGCCCCGGGTACAAAGCCTGCAGGACCCTGGGCCAGCCGGCTCTCTGCGTCTACACACGGGGAGCAGTCAGGTTAGTGCCAAGGAGAGACGCCCAGGGGCACAGGCAGAGAAACAGGGGCCCACGTATAAGTGGAACGAGAGAATGCATGCCCAGGGAGCCCCTTTCCTATCTGGGGAAGAATACGATTATGCATAAGAATCTCATTTTATCTGGAAAAACAATTCCTCTATTAAATGTCTTTGCTCCTCGGAGATTGTTGAGAGCTCTCGGAATACTCTCCCGATGGTCTCATGTCTCCCACCGTCTCCATACCCTTCCTGTTCCAGACTCATGTGAAGTGTCAGATTGGTTTATGGCTATGGATTCTCCAGTAGCAAGTGTCATTTGCCTCCTTCAAATGCTGCGCCAAGCTGTTCGCTGGCCCCTTACTAAATTTAGCCTCACACCCTTCCTTTTCTATAGTTCTGCATGTGCCTGGAACATCCCCTGGGGCCTTGGCCTTTCTGTCCTTCGTAGCCCCTGCAGCGTGTGCCATTAAAACTGATCCACAGCACACACGCAACAAATATTTCTGAGATGCGTTTATTTAAAGATCCACTTTTCCCAAAGATTCTATGACTTAGGGCAGTGCGATAGAGCAACGTGCAGCAGAAATCTGCATTATTGTTTTTCTCACTGAAGGGCTTAGGAGGCTTTTATGGAAAAAGTATAATTCAAGAGCTAGCACAGGTCTCGCCGCACTACATTATTTCTGACAATTTTGATTTGAGCTTTTCAGAAAGTCATTTGTGTTCCACCTATTCCAAACCTAGAGATACAGTTGCACACCAGTAGCATCATCTGCTATTTAAACACCTAAATGTTCCTGTGCTTTGGCATTTAATACCAAACCCAACCCAGGTGTTTATCTCTTTGAGTTTGTTCTTCAGGGAAAACATGCTGAGGAATTTGACATGTAGCAGCAGAAAATTCTATTTCTTCTTAAAAGTGATAAGCCGTGAACCACAAAGTCTCAGATACTCTGGGGCCCAGAGGGCCTGGGTGTCTGGGGGAGAATGCCTTCATAAAACTCCCCGTGGTGCCCCATTGTCCTCGTGGTACATCCCAGACACTTCCATCACGTGGCCGCCTTTCTGTGCCCCACCCTTGACATTTTGCCCACACCCCATCACAGTGCTTATGGCATGGAGAGGCACCCACCTTCCTATTTTCCCAAGAAATTAGAAGGTTCCTGAAGACAAGACCTACCCGTTTCTCATCCTCAGGATCCCACCTCCTAGTCTAAGGGTTAAACCACAGGGGCTCCGTTAATATTTACCAAGTTAGTGACTGACAACTGGAAACCTAAGTCCTTTCTTTTCTGCAAGACAGGAGCATATTTAATTACATAAAATAAATTGGAGCATGTAGACATCCTTAGGAAAATGCTAAGCGTAATGTAATGAAAGGTATATATTTTTAATTATTATTACAATTTGATATTGGGGAGACCTTCATAAGAAACTATAGGCGCTCCAGCTTTCTGAGCACTTGCCTTGTGTGTGTGTTTTCCAGCACATCTGTTTTCCCGCCATGGCCCCTCAAAGTATCTAGAGCTACTTAGCTCTCGGTGGTTAAGTTCTTGGGGCCCCCAGCCGCAAGACCTCCACACCCCACCTCCGGTTTCAGAAGATCAGGATGGAAGGCCTATGGATATACTCTTACCAGCGGGTTCATCAGAAACTCCTCACATGCACCCAACCTGCTTTGATAGATAAAACAAGGTAGGGAAATAACTTTCCACACTGACAGAAGCCCTGAGAGTTCTACCTTTTCTGAGTCTCTGCTTTTATTGATTTAATCAAGAGTAAAAATAGATTGAAAGGAGGTTTTATTTTAAGTAGGTAAGAAAACGGGACATTTGTCAAATCCGCATACAGCAGTCAATGACCCTGATGAAATAAAACCCCACTCGAGGGGGTTCGGATAAGATTGTTACGTGTAAGACTAGGAACATTAAGACACATTTTAAAACTCTATGGAATCAGGGAATTCTGTAAGGAAGCATACGCTGTCTGACTTACATTTGTATCTCGTGGAATCTTAAACCTGTGGTGGCCCCTTAGGATTTACGTAGCACGGCACTTCTTTGTGTTTCTCAGGAGGCTCGGTTTCCCAATCAGCCAACAGTTGGAGGGAAAGGTGGGGAGAAGAGGAAGGATTAATCAAACACGCCCCGTCCCTAGACTTGGCCCCAGCAGGAATCTGGGGGCTCTTTTTAACTTGTTCCTCATGTTGGGCTTTCTCCCAGCAATAAGACACAGGCCGCTGCCAGACCCAGAAGCCCGCGGGATCTGTCCCTTGCCCACCACTCCAGCACGATCCACCCCGGCCTCCCGGGTGCAGGACTGTGTGTTTCTCAGACGCACCAACCCTGCCCTTCTGCAGACCTGTGCCCTTGCTCCTCCGGCCCAGGTCACTCTTCCTTCAGGTCTTCACAGATCCAACCCATTACCATCGTCATATCTCAGCTTCAGTGCCATCTGCTCAGAGAGAGACCATCAGTGACCTCCCCAGGTGAAGGCGTGTCCCTCAGTTACCGTCTGAATCATCTCCCATCTTCCCCTTGCCTTCTACCCCACCTTCCAGGTGGACAGGAACCCAGACCTTCCTCCAGGGTGAACAGCTTGCTGATGTCAGAACCACAGCCAGCATCCTGGTGAACTGGACTCATGTGTCGCCTCTTCTAGAACCTGTGTAAGGGTTATGATTTAAGATTTTTTTTTTTTTAAAGAAGGCAGTCAGCATGGGAATACCTGGTTCAAGATGGAAGCCCAAGCTGGTGATCCACACTTGTGCGGAGACACAAGATGAGAAAGAGGAAAAGTTGTGGGAAATTTGAGAAAAAGTATAACCCCCCCCCCAAAAAAAAACTTTTAAATAAGTGCTCTCCAATTTTTTTCCTTATGTGATGTCCTTGGATTAAAACAAGCTGGTGAAATGAACAAGGTACGGTGCCCGATGGCTTTGTGATTCCCGATCACAAGGCCATCTCTTGCAGAGGACAGGCCCAGGCCATCAGTGAGCAGGTTACACCCGGTTGGAGTGTCCAGAGTTAGGCTGTTGCTGACTGGGGCACAGACATTCGCTTCTTTCACCAATGGTGACTGTGGGCCGAAAGCGCTGTGTCTTGGTCATAGTGAATATCCACCTTTGCCTTCCTGAAGGCTCCAGTCCAGAACAATTGCAATAGGTCCCTGCCAAGAAGCACTTTTATCAGACAAAGCAATACAACTGTAAAGTTATAGATTGTATGATATTAGAAGAAAAAAAAAAAGAGTTTTAAGACACAAAAACCATGTGAAAGGCCTCAATGAGGAAGCTCAGGTTTAATGTCTGGATCCCCGAAGAATGATGGTGCCCCAGACAGAGCAGAGAGTGCGAAATCCTGGGTCCTGTCTAGGAAGAGACTGGAGGCCTGTTCTAAGCATTCCCACTTGGGGTGATGGCTGACAGCTGCGTGGAAATGGACCATGAGACCACCATCCAAGCAGGCCTGGCCTTGGTGACAGAACTTAAACAAGGAAGCATTAAGAACACAGAGAAGCATGGCATTTGGACTTAACAGAAGCTCAAAAACAAAAAACAAAACAAAACAAAAACACAAAACGTTTTCTTCCAGAATTACTGGCATATAATTCAGTTTTAAACACCAAGCAGGTGAGAGGGAAAATGCAAGCCAGGTAGGGGAGAGCAGGTGTGCGGAGTGAACCAGACAGCGGACTCCAGCGGGCGCGCCCATGACAGGTGCCCGCGGACTCGCTGCTGGGGTCGGAGGAGAGGATCAGGGCGAGCCCGCCGGCTGACGGAGGAAAACAGGGTTCTTCGCAGTGACCCCCTGATCCTCCTGAGCCCGGGGACCGGACACCTGGCCGCCAGGTGAAATCCAGCACCGGCCAGGAACCCCAAGCGGGCTCCCCTCCCCCGGCCGCCGCGCGCCCCCAATAAAGGACCGGCCCCCTCCCCACCTGCGGGCGCGCGTCCGCGTGAATCGCGCTCCTCCGAGCTCGGCGCTGGAGAGCCCGGCGGGGAGGGGACGGTCTGCGTCCAAGGAAGTGGACCTGGGTCAGGCCGAGGAGACGGAAAGGGCAAAACTCTCACGCAGGGCAACTGTAAGTTCGGGCGAGTTGGATGACTTTGCCTCCGTGCCTCCAGGCCGCTCGGGGAGGGGACGGGGAGGCGCG